AGAAATAGGATAATCCTAAGGATAAGCTACTAAGATATTATTAGTAGTAGTTAGATATCTTTAGTTAGTAATTAGCTAATAAGTTATTTTTAAATTAACTAGGAATTAACTATAAAATTATCCTAAAATAAGACTATAATAGTATTAAGGAACTATCCCTATATAGTCTTCTCTATAGTATAAATAAAAAAAAGCTTCTATATCTATAGAAGATATTAATAGACCTTCTTAGAAAAAGCTTTATCTAAATAAGTAAATTACTTACTATAACCCTTGTCCTACTAATAAGGAAGCTAAATAGAGAAGTATAATTCTATATTAATTACTATAGGTTAAATAAATTAATAGTAAAGGATTATTATCTACTATTACTAATTAAAGAGATACTAAGAAATATAAAGTAGATTAAATAGTTTTCTAAGCTAGATATTATTACTACTTTCTATAAGATTTATATCTAACTAAGAAAAGAATAGAAAATAGTATTTTAGATATAATATAATCTATATAAATAGAATATTACTCTATTTAGATTAATTAGTATATTAATAACTTTCTAGAGCTATATTAATAGGATTCTATAAGAGTATCTTAATAATTTTATATCTATATATATAGATAATATTATTATATATAGTAATAGATTATTAAAGGATTACTAATAAAAAGTAGAATAAGTACTATAGAAACTATAGGAAGTAGACCTATAGTATAATATTAGAAAATTAGAGTTTAAATAAGATTCTATAAAATATCTAAGGTTTATTATATAAATAGATAAAAAAATCTATATTAATCTAAAGAAGGTTATAACTATTTAAGAATAGGAAATATTAAAATTAATATAAGATATATAGAGCTTCCTTAGATTTACTAACTTTTACTATTTATTTATATTTTAATTTACTAATCTCTTAGTACTCCTAACAAAATTAATAAAAAAAGATACTTAATTTATATAGAATAATAACTACTAATAAGTATTTAAAGAATTAAAAAGTCTTTTTATTAATATCCTAATTCTAGTATATTTTAAAAAGAATAAGAAAACTATTATTAAGATAGATATATTAGGATAGACTATAAGAGTTATCTTATTATAATATAAACTAAATAAATAGTTATATCTATATATCTACCTCTCTTAGAAACTATTACTAATAAAGTTAAATTATAAGATTTATAATAAAGAGTTATTAGTAATTATATATATTCTCTAAAAGTAAAGACTAGAGTTAAAAATAGTATTTTAATTTATTATTATAATAAACTATAAAAACCTATAATTCTTTAATAAAATATAATATCTAAATAAATAATAAATAAGATAGATAGATATTCTTATAAAGTTTAACTATAAACTAAAGTATTACTTTAGGAAACTTACTATAAGACCTAATATACTTTTATAGTAAAGCTAAGATACCCTATAATATATTATAGACAAAAGGCTATTAAATTAGTTCTAAACCCTATTAAAAAAAATATAGATTAAGATAGGATAACCTAATCTACTAATAATAAAAAGAATTAACTTTAAGAAGGAAATACCTCTATTTAAGAAGCTTATACTATAATAAGAATAGAAGAATATAAGATCTACTGATCTAGAATATTAGAAGATATATAAAGTCTTAGAAAAGGGAGACTAGCGAATCGCTACTAAAGTAAATATAAAAATAAACCTATTAGAATATTACCTAGATAAATAAGGGCTACTTTATTTTAGGTAATAGATATAGATCCTAGATAATAAGATACTATATATAGGGATTATATAGAAGATCTATAACTCTTATATTATAGTATATTTTAGTTAAAATACTACTTATATAATACTATTATAGAGATTCTTCTAGCTAGAAGTAGTAAGAGATATATAATATTTTTTATAAAACTATATAGTTTATAGCTATAGTACTATATAGTATAATATAAAGTATAGGCTATTGAAACTACTACTGATTCTATAGTAAATATAGATAGAATTATCTATAGATTTTATTATAGAACTATCCCTAATAGTATATATAGGTATAATAAATTTAATAGTAATTATAGACTAGCTTATAAAGAGTATAATTCTTATAAGTATAGTAGAAATAACTATTAAGAGAGTAGTAGATATATTCTTTATTTATTTTTATATATACTATAGGCTACTATAAGTAGTTATAAGTAATTATAGGTCTTAATTTATAGGTGTATTCTAGCAAATAGTATATAAGAAACTATTAATTTAATATTAACTATTAACTACTTTCTATCTATAATCTGATAGTACTATAAAGTATATAAACTAAGAAGTTAAATAGATCTTATATATATTTATAATCTATATATAAAGTAATTAGAGTATATTACTCCCTATTATTACTATAATAATTAATAACTATAATACTAGTATAATAGGACTATCCCCCTTCTTCTTTATATATAATTACTATATTAATCTTATTAAGATAGAAAAGATAGAGGAATCCTATAAAACTTATATATAACTAGGAATTATAGACAAAATATTTATAAATTAATTATAAGAAGCTACTAATTGGGCCTAAGTTATAATTACTTTTATATAAGCTCTATAGAAAAAGTAATTAAATAAGTAATAATAAGCTATACTAATCTATAAGAAAAATAACTAGATATAGCTAAATTTATAGAATATATATATATAATAATAATTAAAAAAGCTAGACTAGCTATATATCTAATATTAAGTTTTAGATATTCCTATATCTTATATAGTATAATTAAAAGTATTTATTAGTATCTATCTAGTATTCTATATAGAGCTAATTAGATCTATTGCTTTAGATTTATTTCTATTATAGATTATAGATAATTTATATTTCTTATTAATACTAGTTAATAAAGAACTTAAGTATAAAGTAGAAGAGATAATAGATATAAGATATAAGAAAGTTAGTTAAGGATACTATAATAAAGTCCTAGTAAAATAAATAGATTAGGTGGAATAGACCTAGTAAAGTCTCGGTAATATTTAAGATTATTTTGTATTAAATACCTTTAAAAGACGATTCAGCCCCGTTTTAACTCTATTATAAGCTTAAAGACGACCGAATATAACTATAATATATATAAGAAGAACTACCCTAAAGGGGGGATACTATTATAGACTAATACCTGGTATAAGGTTATATAGTATATATAACTATAATAACCTAATATGTAGAACACCTACTTAGTAATTCTCTTTTTAAGCTTTTTATATATAGTATATAGCCTAGCTCAATTAAATATAAATTCTACTTTAGCCTATCACAATAACATATATAAAAAAGACTATCCTAAAGGGGGGATACTATTATAGGCTAATACCTAATATAAGATTATATAATATATATAACTATAACAACCTAATATATAGAATACCTACTTAGTAATTCTCTCTTTAAGCTTTTTATACATAGTATATAGCCTAGCTCAATTAAATATAAATTCTACTTTAGCCCTTCACAGGACTCTAGCGAAGTATAGGTATCTCTACGTAGTACTAGGGACTAGTATTTAATTCTCGCTTTAATAATTAAAGAAGCCAAGACCTACATCTATATTAATAGATATATTATATATATCTGGGCTATAGTCAAAGAAACTAATAGTAGTGCTGTGAGTGTGAAGGGCTAAAGCAGAATTTATATTTAATTAAGCTAGATCATAAACTATATATAAAAAGCTTAAAAAAGAATTACTAAGTAAGTATTCTATATATTAGGTTATTATAGTTATATATAATATATAATCTTATACTAGGTACTAGCCTATAATAATATTCTCTCTTTAAGATAGTCTTTCTTATATATATTATAGTTATATTTAGTTGTTTTTGAGCCTATAATAGGGTTGAAATAGGGCTAAATTATCTTTTAAAAACATCTAATATAAAGTAATCTTAAATATTATTAAGCCTTTACTAGATTTATTCTACTTGATCTATTTATTTTATTAGGGTTTTATTATAATACTCTTAATTAATTTTCTTATATCTTATATTTATTATCTCTTCTACTTTATACTTAAGTTTTTTATTAACTAGTGAGATCTTAGGGTGCGAACAGGCATATATGACTAATTTAGGGGAAACGATAGTTAATATATATATATTGGTTAAATAAACATAGTAAATAGATAGGGCCTGATTATATATGATCGGCTAACTATAATAGATAGTAACAGATATAGACATAGACGTTACTATATATAAACGAATATAATAGATCGTAATATATAAGATATATAGGGAGAATTAGGTAAAAATATCTTATCCTCCCCTACTTAATTAAAGATCGTCTTGATCTTAAGTGTTTATATAGAGTAGTAGTATATAAAACACCTATAATATAATTATATTGAGATCTTTGTGGCGAAATTAGTATGTTATATAGGTATATCTAACTATAGTAGGGGAAACAACTATATGATATATAATAGGTATAAAGACAAACAAAATAAATAGATTTGATTAGGTTAGATCGGGCGGTATAGACATTATAGTAGTAGATATAATAGGGATACTAACATAGTAGGATAATATAGGAAATAATATAGTATAGGAAAGCAAAAATTTAGTATCCTTCCCCACTTAGACTTAATTGTCTACGATTAATTAAAATAAGTATAAATATATCTAATTATATAGTATTGCTGTTGGAGGTATCGCAAATTAGTAATATTATAATAGTAAGATATAGTCTAAATAGTAGTATCTCTTTATCTACCTTAGGTAGATAGTTCTTTATATATAAATATATATAGTTATATTAATATCTATAGACCAAATATATATAGTGGTATTAGATATTCTATATACTAAAATATATAGTAGTATTAGATATATTTACTTATTAGTAAAGAGGGTAAATAAGCTAGAGTTATAATATACAATCATTCTGCCAGCCCAAAGGCACGTTCTCCTATCTTTTCAAAAATTTTGAGCCTTCTTGGGTTTCTCAATCATCATGCTAGAATCCAAAATGTCGTTTCGAACATGTTTTCTCGGTGCAACGGTAGCGGTATCTAACTTAGCTGTCGCGGTCAATGCTAGAGCCAGGGGGGGGGATGGGAGAACGGCTACGAAGCGACTGGAGAGGCGGATCCTGATGTGACTTCCAGCTGTGACCATTGGGCTAACGATGTTCAATCATCTGATACCTGTGAGATGTTGGAAGATTACTTTGGTATCACCATAAAGGAGCTGGTAAATTGGGTAAGTCATTCTTTGATTTTTCTATTATGAGGGATGTTAGAATTTAACTGTAAATGATTAGAACCCCTCTTTGGAATCTGATTCTTGTGTCCTGGAAACTGGACTCAGCTACTGTGTTTCTGGCTCTATTGCGACCAGCTCTTCAGCAGTAGTCACCGCCACTCCAGTCGTTACTGTCACGTATCATAGTACCGCTGCACCTGTCCAGAGTGGAATCACAAAAAGCTGCACTGAGTACTACATGGTTCGCAACGGTGACACCTGTTATAGCATTCAGGACCAATACATGGACTATACGCTTAAGGAATTTTACTCATGGAACCCTTGAGTAATTTTCTTTAAATTAGCGGGCGACGAGATTTATTTGCTCATTTGTGGTACTTATAGTTCCCTCAAGGGTTGCAACGATCTGGTAGATGGTGACTATTTCTGCGTGGCCACGAAAGCTTCGACTGCGTCTTCAAGTTCTTCCTCATCATTCTCTACCCAGACCGGCGTGATCTCAAAATGTATGTTACCAGTGTCTCCATTCCCTTGAAAAACTTTCCCTTGGACTAGGAGGTCTCATGATTCAGGTAACAAGTGGCACTTTGTCTCAGGCAATGACACTTGCAGCTCTATTCGTAAGGAATATGGTGTTACACCCGCAGAATTCTATAACTGGAATCCAGCCACTGGTGCCAAATGTACGAATTTGTGGCTGGAAACTTATGTCTGCGCTGGTGTTCCTGTTACATATATCCAACATGATACTCCATTCATTTGATACTTGAGCTAAATGCAATATAGGCTTCACATCGGCTCCGGTGACAAAGGCCACCATGCAAATGACAACATCAATTGGTGCAGTAGTGACATCCCCTGTCCAGAGTGGTATTGCTTCCAACTGCACCGAGTACTACAAGGTCCAATCTGGTGACACATGCTATGCTATTGCACAAGACCGCGACGTCAGCGCGGCTGATTTCCTGAAGTGGAATCCCGCTGTTGGACCCGCTTGTGGCGATCTGGAGAAAAAAGTATATGTCTGCGTTGCAGTTTGAGTGGTTGTTTCTAAAGACCTCAACTTGAAGAAAGGAACTTGGTAAGTATGTAGTTGACATTTTGATGTCGCTCTAGACTAGACTGGATAGCAACACATAGTTTAAACTTATTCTGAATGAGCATCCTTGATTCTTATTCTTGAGGAATAAGCGTTTTGGCTCATATTTTCAAATATTGCACGCATAATATACACTTGCATATTTATTGTAGTCGCCCAGTTTTACAAAGCATAATTGAGTCACAGGAATCATTGCAAGCTGGCTTTACGGGACGAGCTTTTACTATTATTCAAGAATAGGGACACAGAAGTAAAACTCAATCCCTAGATCGCGGTCTTACAAACGAGCCATTTCAGTATTTCAAATGCTGTCGCATGTTTCGCACAATACACATTGTTCTATTATCCAAATCCACCGTGGATCAAACATGCCAGTAGAACAGTGGTGGTGTGGAACCTGTTTGGGGTAAATGCGTAGCCTCGGGAATTGTCCATAGAGTGGCTCTAAACGAACGAGTTCCTGATGATCCACCACGCTTTTGGCCCCAGTGGGATCAAGTGGTGGGACGCTAGGAAATACCCGCAGCAAAGAAGCAACATCGGATCCCTGGCTCCGGCCCCCCGGCCCTGGCGCCATCTAGGTCAAGATAGGGGGCAGATATTAGCACAAGAGATAATTCGTAGCTGGATCTTTCTTGAGGGCCTTCCTCACTGAAGCCTGAAATATTGACCACTCTCCGTGATCCGGGCGCTAAAGATAATAGACTAAAATAGGAAAGAACATCTACAATATGGATAATATGTGCTCTTTGCCAAGACTACTCATTGTTGGCCTTACTAGTGGATTAATGTCAGGGTCAGTCTGAGGAGTCAGAAGACTTGATACATGTGGAGCTCTATAGTTCTGTACCCATTGACTGCTTTTTAGATTGCAGATACGGAGGATACGAATATTTACTCAGGTAAAATTCGACTAAAAATTATGACCCCGGGGATAGGTAAATGAAAACTTAGGGTAACCTAAGGGGTATAAGTTAGATAGGGGGTTGTTTAGTTTTAGTCACAGAAAAGATCAGAACAGGAAAAGCTCGGAATACTTATGGCTTTGTCCGTACGAAAGATTTTACCTTGCGGGATACCAGCATTCTTTACAATCTTTCCCCTTATTTTAGGGCAGTATACCTCTGCAGTATTCCGCCCGGTGAAATACAGGAGTTGGGGCCAAAAAGAATTTTTCGAGTAGTAAACGGTGTGTTGATCCGATTGGTGCCGGACTAGCTGAGTGCCGGTTTGAGGCATTTTGATGGATGAGCCGATCATGACCCACTATGCAAGTAATCATTGGCTTGGACCCTGAATCTCGATAGAATGTGGGTCGTGGCCCGCTGTGGATCATTATGGCTCGCTTACACGAGGATCATTTGGCACGGGTCCTACTTGACTGTTAAGTTTAAATGTCCAGGGACTAGGGGACGCGTAAGAGAATTCACCATGGTTCCCGTATGAAGTACCAGTTACCACGTGCCCGACAGGTACACTAACATTTTGAACATGTCTCATTTATCTCATTTCGGTATATAGTGCGAATTTGAATCCTGCAGTACTCTGTCGAGTAGGTAAAGGTAATGGTAAATGTATTTGCTAGTATTGACTAGCGCATTTTATAGTTGTTTCATTGAAAGTGTCCCTGGGAATTTGTAATTTTTACTCGCGTAATCTAATTGACTTGGATTATGAGAGCCCTAGTATCGAGTTACCTACCGTGAAATTTTCTAGTTCTCCCCCACTTAGTCTTGGCAAAGCTAGACCGATGATCAGCCTAACTTTTGTATTGTCTGCTGTACGAACGTACTGTGTAATAGATTAATCGACTGAACATGTTTATATAGTATCGCTAAGCGGAAAGCGTAGTAACCGTACGCATCTTTCTATTTTAGATCGATCTGCGGGTGTCGTAACAGCCGTTCAATATATGCAGCATACCCGCTTGCAGCAGCAAACATGAGGGCTGTGAAGCCTAAGGGCCCAACCTTATTCAGTGCGATTTCACCTTGCGAGAGAAGAAGAGACACAATACCCAAGTGTTGATTGATCACGGCCATATGCAGGGGTGACGTTCCAGACGGGGCTTTCTCGTTGATCTGAATAGCTTTCTGGGTTAGCAACCTCTGAGCCGTAGTGAGCGAACCCGCCTGACACGCTGCCCATAACGGTGGAATAGCCGGACTAGGCATGGCATTGATACATATCTTCGGCTGTCTCAGAAGCATCTGTAGTAAACGAGGGCTTTAATACTCCGCTGCTCGCGCAAGAGGGGTAACAGCCCCGCCGTCCGCATCATTTAAACAGAGGCCATCCTGGTCTAAGAGCAGCTACACTAGCTCCTTATTCTGCTGGTCCACCGCGTGCTATAGCGCCGTGCGTCCTCTAGAATCCTGGTGATTGATGTCAAGCTTTGGGTTGAGCAGTAGGGCTTCCACTACCCGTCGGGACGACCTCCCTTTAAGGGTCTTGACCGCGAGAAGTAGTGCCGTATTTCGGTAGGTGCTGCACTAATTGACATCCAAGCGAGGGTCTCGGGCTAGGATCTGTACTAAGATATGGTCTTCTTTTCGAACTGCGGAATGTAGCGCATTCTGCCCAAGGCGATCTTCGATGCTAACATTTACGCGGGGATCGGTCAGAAGATGGCTTAGAATGGTGTGCTCCGAGTATTCCACTGCGTACATCAAAGCGGACATGCCATCGGTGCATCGGCTATTGACATCCAGCGCTGGGTACTGCAACAGGGTTTTAACGATGGCAAAAGTGCCCTTTGCGACCGCGATTAACAACGGCCCTCGACCTTGAAAGTCGCAAATAGACAGCCGTGGGTGATGTTCCAACATGAGATTAACTGCTTGTGGGTAGCTCATCTCAATGGCGAGCAGAAGCGTGCTCATCCCACGGTACTCGGAGTTGGGATTTACCTGATAAAGATCCAACAACTGTCGTGCAATGTCTAGTCGTCTGTTGAGTATGGCTCGATGAAGGGGTGGCATCTCATCGTGGGGCAGACAATCAAGGAGATATTTGGTGCAGGTTTGCGCAGTTGCCCAGCAGCAGCAAATGGTCAATTGAACGATTTCTTTCCCATCGACGCTTCTGCAGATCCAAAGTAAAAATTAATTTGGCAGTCTGTCCAGCATGTTTCGTATTTAGCACAAAAACTCAAATATGTCGAGGGAAGAAAGGTGGATCATTCAGGGTCTCAAGTTGTTCAAGTAGACATTACTGTGGACCAAATATGGAAGATGTGTTCCAAATAACCAAGAGCCTGAGAATGAATCGGTAATGAGATCATTATTGAATGTCTTGGGAAAGTATATGCCGGTCCTGGGAACCGCCTTGTCCCTGGGATCCCGGTCACTACTCCCGGAGCCACGGTTCTGAATACTGGAGGTTTCTATAGTCTGCCTGGGAACTGAAGCGCAATTTACAGCGGCAAGATTGCATCGTCAAGCATCCACTCTTTCGCTTTAGTGATACTGAAAGCTCTTCATATCCCTTAATTCCTAAATTGATTGGCCCTTGCAATGCTAAATCGCCCAAAAATACGCTGCATTAGTTTCATTACTTTGCATCAAACTTCACGCATCGCCTTGGAAAGAAACAGCACCTCATAACCTCTTTGCATATACTTTCACAAAGTCAACAGCTTGAGGGTTGAGGCAATGGTATGAGCAATCGATGCTTTGTAATGGAATTGAATGCTGAATATACTCTACAGGTTTCCATTATCGATTTTCCAACGGAGATTCTTTGGATCATAGCCAGCACCTTATCGGGCGGCCAGATTTCTGCTTTTGCTCAGACCCACCGAAACCTCTATCCCAAGCTGCGTCTGGCGCTAATAAAGTACAATATCAAGCACCAAAACAGCTCGGCGCTTCATTGGGCTGCTAAGACCAATCATTGTGCATTTGCAAAGGCGTTAATCTCTTACCGAGCCGACATAAATGCACTAGTTGACGATTCATCCCCTCTCATGACAGCCGCAGATCACGGCTCAGAGCTGGTGATCAAAGTATTACTGCAGAAGAGAAGGTTGCGCGTGAACTTGAGAAATACCAAGGGAGAGAGTGCTCTGTGGCACAGCGTGGCGACAACATCATCCGTCATCGTCACCCAGCTCCTTCAACACCCTCAGCTCAAAGTCGACCTCCCAAATTCTGAGGGGCAGACGGTGCTCTGGCTTGCTGTCTTTCAAGGAAACAGAGACTTTGTGTGCCAACTACTCATAAGAGATGCCAACCCTGATACAAAAGATTTGAATGGAATATCGCCATGGATCCAAGCATGCATCAGAAACAGAAACAATATCAAAGATCTCCTACTTGATCATTGGAAAGCGACATCCCCTGGCGTCATATCACAGGATACACCGCTCACTAGAAGTGAGGAAACGGTTGCGTCAGCTGCTGGTAGCGGAAGTGCTTCCATATCAAGAATGCTGCGCCTCCGGAGAGAGGAATTCGATATAGTTGATGAACAGGGACTGACACCTCTCCACACAGCGGCAAGGAGCGGTCATCTTTTGGCAGTGGATTTTCTACTTCGCCACGCAAATACTCTCTTGAACCGTAAAGACAGTTACGGTAGGACTGCGCTGTGGTGGTCTACCTTTTCATTCTATGATCGTGTCACGCAGAGGCTTCTGGAAGAGAAGGACGTGGAGATCAATACGCTTGGAACATGTGGGAAATATGATAGCCCTTCTACCTCGCTCCACCATCTAGCCAGAAGAAATGATACAACCGTTCTTGGATGGTTCTTAAGCCGGCCGAGTCTTGACCCAAATCTATGCGGGGCTCTCAATCTCCTCTTTGTCTGGCTATACAACAAGGGAATACCGCAGTGGTGAGATTACTCCTCACTCACAAAAAGACACAAATTAACGCCTTGGAAATACCCAATGATTCGCCGCTTCTTTTGGCAACCCAGGAGGGCCACCGTGATATGGTTGAATTGCTGGTCCGGCAAGGTGATCGGCTGCAGATCAACCAGTTGAACAGTCCTGATAAGGAGACGGCACTTTGTGTAGCCATTCGTCACGGAAGACTTGATATCCTAGATATTTTGCTTGGGCATCCTGGAATCAATATTGATACGATCAATGGTTGGGGTGAGACGGCCCTGTTGTTAGCGGTCAAACGAGAAGATACCGCAATGGTCAGCAGATTACTCCAGGGCCCGAACTTGCCTTGTATTTTGGCAATGCCAGCCGAAGTTGCTCAATCCCGTAAAAAACGTGATATGAGCCGTCTCATCCAAGAGGCAATGAAGCAAAAGAGCCACGGAGACTACTCGTCAAGGAAGAGACAATGTCAGATACGAAAAAGTCGTGTAAATTTCAGCTTCGTTTAACAATCTCTTTGTTCTAACATACCACATTGGTTATGCTTCTTACATTTGCTTGTTGATCACCAGCCCTAGAAAAAGATCTTGCATGAGGCCGAGGTACTGTGTCGTATCACCCATCTGGAATTGTATAATTGGAGACTGGGATGTTGTATTCCCTCTCGTATTATGAGGTATCTTGGGGATATACAGTACCGTCGCTGCAAATAGTGTCAATATATCTTGACCCAAGCTGTCAGTGGGTGGGAATCAGAAAAGGATACGTCCGATCCTCTTTTGAGCACAAAATTGCGACCGTGTCCGTGCTGGATGCGGGTCTCATTCAAGACCAGCATGACTCACTCATAGCGGTAATACAGCAACATATGTGAGCAACTGTCAACATAGAAAGTATTATAGGAGCATTTGTTATATCTCAGATGTAGAACATGATGAACGAACATCCTAGCACTATGATGTACAAAATTCTGAGTGTAACTCGCATTACTGCTGATATTTCGAAGTTGACAGCGAATATGAGATTTCTACCCTCCATCACATGCCGATTCTAATAGGCACAGCCAGATCGTCGAAAATCCATGTGGAACCACGCTGGCCGGCTCTGAAGGTGATCCACCAGCTGGAACTAGTATATACCGAGCCTATCTAGTATACAGACGGAAGTTGCCTTATTCGTAATCAGCATTCTTAATTATGGATTTAAAATAGTCTACAGTACGGTTTGCCACGACAGTTCTCTGAGAATGGTTACAACAGACAGACCAGAACAGTATTAGGTCGTATAGAAGGCACACGTATAAGATATACCTACTATATAAGTCAATTCTTTTCCCAACGAACTCGTCAATAGAAAAAGTTAAGATAACCAACATTACTTCTAGGCTTGGATTTCAAGGGCCTTATATCCTCTATCCCTATCTAACCTCTTACTCTTGCTATACTGAATAAATTTATATATTCAAAGGATCCTGTAAGTTTAGAAATATTCTTTCTAGATATTTTTTATTAGGAGAAAGATCATATAAGAGGGTTTCTAGCACTAGAATAAATATATCATAAGCTAAGGCCTCAAAGGGGCTCCAGTCAGCATACCATCTATCTACCCTTAACCTTTTCTACTACCTCCCCGCTACATATTTATTGCTCAAGGAAGGGACTAATATAACAAAAGTAAATTAAATAAGAACAAAGTCAAATAACACTCTAGATATAACATATCGAGATTAATCTAAGTATTTAAAAGATTAGGGTTAAACAACAAGACCAGGGATTCTAATAAGTAACTAAGATTATACGTAGTAGATATATATTATACATTAATATATTAACTTACTATACTTATCCTACTAACTACTACTATTAATATATTAATATAAGAAGTAAGCCTTCCAGAATACAATATTTCTTCTTATTATTGTAAAATATAGGTATTTTATCTATATAAATACTACTTATTTAGTATTAACTTACTTTCCTAAACTATAGCTATATCTAGATTTAATTTATTACCTAAACGCCCTTAAGCTAAGAGATAGGGTCTCTTAAAGATTCTCTTTAAAGGGGTTAGCAAGGTAATTTCTAATTATTAGGGATATCTCCTATAGGTAATAAGTAAGATCAACCTACTATTATTATCTTAGGACTTTCTCTAATCCTTTTATTTAGGAAATCTAATAAAAGTTAATTATTTAGATCTTAGGTCTATATAGAAAGACCTTCTCTAATAATGATTTAGAGTAGTAAAAATTAAGTGTTTAGATATATTATAGCAATATCTAATATTTCTATCTAAACTATATAGATTATTATAATAAAAGATACTAAACTAAGTATATAGACTCTATTATTCTAAGGCCCTATTTAGAATTAATCTTATTCTATAATTCTAAATCTCTACTTTAAAAGATTTAGAATAATCTTAGAAGAAGAGCTTTATTTAATTAGAACCTAGAGATTAATTCTTAAAAGGATCCTATTATAAATAATCTATAGGAATATTATACCCTAACTAAGTAGAAGATATCTATAGTTATCTATTCCCTTTAGTTACTCCTAGTATACCTATAAGAACTATTCTAGACTTTCCCTCTAAGGATTATAGTACTTAGTTTAGGTAGATCTTTAGTATATAAGGCTACCCTATAGGTATTAGCCCTCTTTAGCCCTAGATAAAAGTTAAATATAGAAACTAGGTTAACCTATTATGATTCTAGGTTAATATAGAATAAGAATAAAGCTATAGTATTAGAGTTAATCCTAATATATCTATATAAAGAGCTAAGTTAATTAGAAAATATTCTATTTTAATCTTAGGAAAAAATAGGCGATTTTCCTAATTATTACTTATTAAAATATAGTATATATTAAAAGCTGTCTAGTTATATATAGATATCTTATAAATATACTAGAATAGATTTTAAATATCTAGTAATAGGTCTCTCTATAGATCTATCTAGGAAAATTATATATCCCTTATAGTAGAATCACCTACTATAAATAGAAAAGCTATTTTCTTACTTAGCCTTTCCTTTAAGTAATATTTATTATAGTAAAACTACTACTAAGATTATTTTAAAATATAGTAAATAAATAATATCTAATTAATATAGGTACTTAGTATAGTTAGATAGCTTCTGTTAGAGAAGTCTCTAGTATTAAATCTATAACTTTAAGCTTTAAGATTATAGTTAATACTATTTATAGAAATAACCTTAGAATATCCTACTTAAGCCTACTTAATAGTATTTATACTAATAATTATAATTTATAATAGTAGATATATATCTAGTAGAGCCTAATCCCTCTTATCTCTTAATAATAAGTAAGTAGCTTTATTCAAATACCACACTACTAAAGCCTTATTAGGGTAAAGCTATAATTAGAAGCTACTCTGATTTAAGTTAGACTAGTTAGTCTTTAGCTTCGGGGATATAGTAAGTACCTATAAGGCTATACTACTATAATATACCCCTATAATATATAGAAGCCCCCTTATAAAGTCAAATTTTCAGTTAACCTTACTACTTATCTTACTGTTGAACGTTATATCCCTGTTAATGTAGTGCTCTTAAGATTGGTTGCAAGTCTGATTGTATAATTAGCTTAGGTGTATAAAGCCTAATTTGCTATCTATAGAGTACTATTTAGACTATTAGAGCTCCCTACTAGCCTCCTTTCTATTTGTCTGATACGGTTTCCTGCTTACAAATAGTTGGATTGTTAAGTGTGCGAGCTGGTGTAGCCCCAGCGAGAAGAGAATATAAAGAAGAATTAGCCGTTGGAGAAGCGTAGATGAGAACGAACTATCGTCGTGGAAATTCAACGTTCGTGCATCGATGCTTATTTGTGAGATGCACTTATCGCGAAGAAGCCCAGCGGAGAAGTGTTTGGGAAATGACGTCACGCGAAGTTTGCTGTGGCAAGTCCAGTCAGCGCCGCGTCGGACTATTCAAGAACAGCGACCTAAGTCTGATTCTATCAATGTAGGCCGTCTTGAAAGATCATTTGAGTAGTTGCTTCAAAAGTAGGCTAAAGCGCCTACACATGTAGGTGCCTTGGATCGTGTTATATTATATTGTATAGTAATATGATGTATATGTACCTTACGCAATTAACTATGATGGTAGGTCACTATGGAAATACTATCTAAGATATGAAGGCAAAAAGAGCTGTAGCCTCTATGGCCTTCTGTACCCCTTATCTTCTGTAGGAGTGTGCCGATATTCGCAGACAATTAATTGCTAAAGGATTGAAATCTTTTCTTCTCTTTGCTCTCCATGTTTTACTTTAATTTACTCCGGAGTTATGTACCAATAAGAGGATGCTTCCCGGGAAGGCTGCAGAACGAAGAAAATCCCCAGATCCTTCCCGCGTTCACGGGCCTACATCTATCTAACCGGTTAGAAATCCCACTCCTTTATGAAAAAAGCGTCTTTTTTATCCTAGTTTACACGATGTTACAATAAATTATTCAATGTTTTATCAACATCACTATATTAGTACCTTTCTACATATCCGTATATACTATGACCTTAATATTGTGGTATTGGTAAATAAACCTTTTAATGTAAAGATATAAATTCACTCAAAATCAATTAAATTTAATTGATATAGAAGGCGTAGAGCGTTGAATGTGGTATCACCCAAAATTCCTTTGATCTTTTGACATTTTTTGTGTTTTTTACGGGGGCAATATAATAGATTCCAACAATTTCTTTTTAGCAAGGAGTAGGATTTCTAACCGGATAGATGTAGTATAACGCGTAATGCAGGTCGCCTGCACATGTGGTTATATTTATTCTAGCCAAACCTTACCCAATGACAGCCAATTTTAGGGTTTGCCCCCTTTGTTGATTATTGATTATTGGTTTGTATCCATTGCAGATCATCCTGCCGATTTCGTATCAAGCCGCTATCAACGCCCACAAGTACAATGCCGTTGCCAAATTGGTTCAATTGGACCGAGGTCAGGGGCGGGGTACAAGATAATAGGCCATAAATGCATAATCTATGTAACGCCGTATATGTCTCTCAGATTTTAGTCCACCCATCACCTTGCCACTGACCATTCAATGTGCGAATAGTGTTCCGTGGTCTCACACTATCTCATGGTGATAAGGCAAGACGAAGTGCAGGTTACGAATTGATTATGCTTCGTATTATAAATGATACTTTGTGGTTAAATAATGTCACGCCTTTTGCATTTTGGCTTGAATGTGGGGGAGCCCGTATTCGAATCGATTGGCTTGGCGTTACCAAATCCGAAAATTTCCGCGAAGGCGTAGTTGCGTTTGATCCAGAAGCAATCGATCATGATCAATCATTCGAATGAAACCAGTACATACCTTAGTCTCCTTTTCTCAAATGACAATCGAGCGACATTTCCTTGTTCATCTGCTAGTGAATACAGACATTTGAAACATCCCTCCCCTTCCACAGGCCAAAGGACCCCTGACCCTTGAGCGTCGATCACCCAAGTATACAGTAGCGAGTGTTCTTGAATAAATCCAAACTGTTGATATTTCTTAGACATTCTAGGTTTCTATGATTTGAGTTCTCGTGTTTTTTTTTAACCGAATTAGGATAACCATTTCTCACTTCGGCGCGGACCATAAGATCGGCCCCCGGGGCCGTCCAGACGCCATGTACTGTAGTACGAAGATTAGATTGGGGCCGTTACGCCTCAGCCGCCCAATCCTTCGTGATTGACATTCCAAATCTAGTTAGAAATTCTCAACCTTCTGCCTGTCAGTATTTAGTTCCATTTACGAATAAGCAGATGTCCTTGCTCTTATATTTCTGAAGAAACATATAGCTCTTCAACAAGCATAATGTGGCCAGAACGGTACTCATGCGATCGTTGCCGCCAGCAGAAGGTTCGATGTCTGAAGAATCATGAATTATCAACGACAATTAGTGGAGTCCAAGCCCATCTGACCCCATGTGATCGATGTATAAAGGCGGACGTGCCCTGTGTGTACAGCTGTAGGTAGTGCATTGCCCGCGTACACTGGTTACATGTTTTATTTCTTGGACTGATTAATTCACCGGAATATCCGCAGCAAGGCAGAGAAAAAGACGACCAAAGGGCAAAGATGCTTCTTCGCCTAGAATAAATGCAAACTTGGCGCTGGATCAGCATCTGCCGACCGTCCTCTCAAGTAGCGATATTTCAGCATATAACCTCAACGACCTGATGATACCGCCGCTCGAGACGACCATGGGCTGCATGAACGATGATGGCACAAACAGCTGGAACAGCCAGCATGACCTCACATATAATACAGAGAGTGACGAAAGGATGCAAGAGGACCTGGCTTCCAACCCGCTCCTTTTCCAGGGCGAAGGCAAAGAGACCCTGGCAGAGCAGCTGATGAAAATTACCAACCGGGCCATGGGAGCGACACGAGAACTTGAATGCGCAGTAAACACCACATCCTTAACAGTAAACTCCCCTCCAGTGAATGAAATGTTCGAGGCCGCGAATGCGTTGGTCCAAATTATCAACAGTTTAACTCTGGCCGACAGCACAGATAGTTCTTTGCGATCTTCCTCCCGTGATGGAAGCGATGGGAACGATCGACAGCTGCCTACCGAATACTACCCAATCTTTCTAGCTCTTGATTCCTACCAGCGCGTCCTATCCCTGTTCCACGCAGTTTGCGACTTTATTAAGAGGTCCTTGGGCTCTATAACTCGGGGGACAGAGCTGCAACAGCAAACATTGCACGGAGCTGGATCGTCCTCTGCGCAGTTCATCATGGTTCTACAGCTCATGATACACCTCCTCAACCGCATAGGTCGTAGCCTACGAATGGGGAACCGAGAAAATATTGATCATCATGAATTGATTTTTGCACCGGACGGTGGTGGAGAAAGAGGTTGCTCAGATAGTATTGTGGACTGCGCGCAGGGCATGCTCAAGATGCTACCTGATGAGCACGTTAAATTGCTAAAGGCCATCCGAGAACTTCAAGCTTGTATAGAGGAGAGTGTTCTTATTTAGATCGGAAGAATAAATTACCTTTGTAGCAACAGAAATAGTCTTCATACCACCCGCCCCCTTTCAAGCCTCCGACGTATGAATGGCCCTTAACTCCGAAAGGATTGTACTACGTTGTGAGGTTATTTCTTACACTTTAAACAAAGTCCTGATCAAAAGTAGAGTATCATCCCAGACTAAACGCTATAGAATGTCAACCATAGTCCCACTTTCAAGAGAGGCTGGCCTTTGCAGTAAAAAGGACGCTCCACAGCAACGGGAACTACGGTCTTCCGTGGGGATCTCCACAGAGAGGATGTTGCCTTTCGAAAATAGGAATGATCTTCATAATACATGTCCAATTTCAAGCCTCTAAAGTTCAAAGGGTCCTTAACTCCGGAAGGCCCGAAAGGATTGTACTACCCTGTGAGGTTGATTTTCTACTTTGAACAAAGACTTGATAAAAGTCAAACTATCATCTCGCACTGCACGATGTAGAGTGTCAATTTAGAGGCTGGCTTTCATAAATAAATGGAGCGCTCCACAATGACGGGAACTAGGATCTTCCCGGAGTTTATCCACAGAGATAAGTGGCCCCAAAGCCACAAATGCAACAAGTGTATGAGCGGGAATAACGGGAATAGCGGGCTTAACGGGGTTAACGATGATAGAGGTACTAACACTGCAGACGATGGGCAGTTGTTTATGTAACCATGTAACTATACCAAATTGCCCCTTGAGTGTGTTAGGCCCCCTTTGATGTTATGACAAAAATTACTGTACGGTCGCGAATAAGGCTGTGGAGGCTATGGCTAAAGGTTTCGAGGCTAAAACCTTATACATATGTAACTTTCGCTCGCACCCCACGGATTTTCAAGCTCGAGCAACTGAGCTATCGCCATGCAAAAAAAGATGTCTTCATCAACACCGCCGTCCCAAGAGCCAAAAGAGGGCAGCGTCAATGCCAACGGCAACCTCGAAGCAATGGGAGAGAAACTACCTCAGGTCGACCCTGAAAAGAAAGAGCAGACCGCCGAGTTTCACGAACCATCCACTGAGACATCCTCTACTGTCAATAGCGGAGAGAAATCAGAGCTCCCAGAAGGCGATGGTGCTACTGCTGAAGAAAGCGCCGCGACTTCGCCGCCAGAACCACAATACCTCCAGGGTATCGAAGCGTTCGTCGTCATACTTGCGCTTATACTCAGTATAGGCCTCATGTCTCTGGATCAAGTGAGTTTTACCGCTAAGTCGCATCTCGCCAGTTCATTGCATCACACGCGGAAACGCTAATGATCCCCATCCAGACCATCGTCGCAACGGCTATCCCAAAGATTACCGACCAGTTTCACAAAATTAACGATATCGCGTGGTATAGTTCGGTTTATTTCCTGACGATCGGAGCCTTCCAGTCACAGTGGGGTAAAGTGTACAAGTACTTCCCTCTCAAAACTAGCTTCCTTGTGGCAATTTTCATCTTCGAAGTTGGGAGTTTGATCTCCGGCGTCGCCCAAAATTCGACGACTGTGATCGTTGGACGTGCTATCACTGGTCTCGGTGCCTCCGGTATCGCACCCGGAGTTTATACAATTGCTGCCTTTGCTGCCGAGCCGAAGAAGAGAGCTACCTGGGTAGGCATCATCGGTGCGGTATATGGCATTGCTGCTGTTCTTGGACCACTCATTGGCGGAGGATTTGCAGATGGCGTGACCTGGAGATGGTAGGTCAAGAAAAATGTGTCGCCCTATTTTTGATGTAAACCACCAATCGGAACTGACTTCATACGATGCTTTAGGTGCTTCTACATCAATCTTCCAATCGGTGGTGTCGCCGCTGGTGTCATTCTGCTCACCTTCAAGACGCCGGCAACCGCTAAGCGGGTTGATGCTACACTCAAAGAGAAGCTTCTACACATGGACGTCCCAGGAACGGTGTTCATAATGGGTGCATCCATCACTTTGCTTCTAGCTCTTCAATACGGCGGTCAGACCCATGCATGGAATTCTAGTGTTGTCATTGGTTTGCTCGTTGGCTTCGTCCTAATGGTTATTGCACTTATCATAGTAGAAGTCTGGCAAGGCGAACTTGCTATGCTAACACCACGCGTTATGCGCCAAAGACACGTCTGGGTTAACGGCGTATGGGGGTTCTTCTTCGCTGGCTCGTACTTTGTCACCCTCTACTATCTCCCTATTTACTTCCAAAGTATCGACAACAGCAGTCCGATTGGCTCCGGTGTGCGCAACATTCCTCTCATTATTCTCTTCAGTGTTACCACCCTCATCACAGGCAGAATCATCACGAAGACAGGTGTCGCAGCTCCTTATTTAATAGCTGGGTCCGTGGTCGTCACCATTGCCGCAGGTCTGCTATATACTCTCGGAATTGGGACTTCAACAGGCAAATGGGTTGGCTATCAGATCTTGGCGGGCTTTGGATATGGCCTCGCTCTTCAAGTCCCGATCGTCATTGCACAGGCTTATTCGGAGCCAACCGACATAGCTCCTACGACTGCTATTCAGATATGTAAGTTTTCTCTAGCCCCCTCCCAGACTATGGGCATTTTTCTTTATAATACCCATGGCTTCATAAGCTAATTTCGTGCCTCATACATAGGGTACCGATCGATTGGCAGTACATTTTTGCTCGCAGCTGCACAATCTGGTTTTGCCAACCAGCTGGCGCATAAGCTGTCCAAGACCGCACCGGACATCGACATCACCTTTGTCACAACTACCGGCGCTACTGAGCTGCGTAAGGAATTTTCCGGAACCGACCTGAACGAAGTTCTACGTGCGTATGAATGGGGTATCAAAGTCGCTTTCGCAATTACTATCGCAGCTGCCGGTATAACTGTCTTCGTCAGCTTGGGCAACAAGTGGCACAATCTTAATGCGTTAAAACTCAAGAAGACTGCTGGTGCTTGAAAAAGCTCTCCATATGGCCATGTCGACATACATGAATGGATCCGCTTACTCATTATGGAAACGATCCATTTTATGTAACGGAAGAAGTGAAGGAATACATCAGATGGGAAATTAGATGGTTTTCAAGGCCAACTGCCCAAAATGGTTGAAAGTGAATATCTTCAAATTCAGGAACTCGGGAACTCGTAATATTCTAATATAGAATCAATTCAACAATAGGCCTCCTCCTACGCACGCTATCTACTTTTCGATACCAACACTTCCAAGGTTCACTCTCAGTGCAGATAGCCTCGAGACTGTCTGGTATGATCACAACCTTGGCCTTCCAATTGATCGCATCTAAAATTCCCTACAAAGGCTACTGGCAGAATGTCCTTCTTTCACCTCAAATGCAAGAGATGCATGCTTATACTAGAGCGTTGATAAGGTTAATTTACAACTTTACTAATATGACCCTGTATGAACATGATTTAGCAGGAAAAGTAGTCCTTTCACGCACAACTCAAAGCACTATTTCGAGCCAAACTTGGCGTGTATACTGAAGGGAGCTCCATTTCGAGGTCGAATTCCTCCTCTTTTCTCGTCACTATCTATCTCATGTATGTAGAGTCTCTATTACACTCTTGATATCGCTATCGATGTCTACCAGATATAACCACCCTAGCTCCGACTTGCCTGCGTCACTCCCATCAATCTCATCCCACCTCATGTGTTCAGACACATTGGCCCTTTCTTCATCCGTCATTCTGATAGTGAGAACCCGATTCGTCAATTCCAGAACTTTTTCCATTCTCTCCATTCTGTATGCCTCCCAAGCCGTCAATGCATCTGATAAACTCATACAATTGCTCAGATTATTGGAGTTGAGATTTGCCAAGAGTATTCCGAAGCTATATCCGTCCTCAAGAGCTTGGTTTGCACCTTGTCCCGCCGGAGGGGGTACAGCATGTGCCGAATCTCCAAGTATGACGACTTTTCCAGTTGATGAATGCCAGCGACTCATTTTAGGGACGGTATAAAATGGCCAGACGTGTAAGAAATCAGTCTCTAGATGGGTCACTTTTGCTTGTGCGTCCTGGACGAGGGGAGACCACAGATTAGGGTGTGGGTCTTGTTGAATTATATCAACTAATTTCTGTTTATCTTGGAATAAAGGATCCCATTGTGATGAGGTGCCTATGATCTACTAGAATAGAGAAGAGTGCGAAGAACAACGAATAACAACGTTGAGGAAAGGAAAAGAAGAGAGAGAGCTATGCTACATACATGTAGGCGGATGCCACTCTCCAGGCCAATCATCTGATTGGCCTGCATCCGAGAGTGGGTCAAACCGCACAAACGTGCAAACAGTGCAAACATACCCGTCCCGAGTCTTCCTCCATGTAGTTATACTACATCACTCCCGCCTAAAATGCGGGCAGTCCCTTGACCGCATCAACGTTAAAAACATCAAATAAATACAGGAAAAAAAATCAACCAGCTCTGTCATCATCTATATGATCGACAGCGAACTCATCTCGCTCCGCAGCCTCAATCCAATAGGGTAGACGCACAGATGGCCCCGGTTTCAACGGGTATCGACGGTGGAACTCCAGGATCGCACGTGTGGAATTCTTATAATCACCAGCTGGATACCATGCGTTATCCTCGATACCGACCCATCTGGCACGGTATTGCAGGATCTTCTTACGGAAAAGACGCGAGTCAATCACCTCTGCGACCTCCCATTCGTTCCCACCGTCTACCTCTACTGGCGGTTGTGGATCCGGGATCTGGCCGGTCAACGGGGTTGTATGCGAGGCCAGTCGTAGCTTGTCAGGGGAGAACACATCGTGAACACTCTGCAACTCCGCCGGCAGATCCAGACGGTAAGAATTACCCACCTTCTCAGTGATTCGAAAGGGTCCAAGAGCTTTCTCTGACAGCTTCCGAGACGGTCTCTCCAAGCGTAGGTGCTTCGTGGACAGGAAGACCATATCGTCGACATCGAAATCAACAGGCCGGCGAGATCGATCAGCGTATGACTTCTGACGCGATTGAGCCTCCGATATCGAGTGGCGTACCTCCTCCCATACCGACTTTAGGTCGCGCACCGCCCCCCGTCCGGCCTCCTTCTCTGGAGAATCCTTCTCAGGTGATGTCCAATCGAACGATAGTGGCGCCTCATACCCACGTTCGATGAAGAAAGGCGAATGTCCAGTGGTCGCACTCGGTATGTTCGCTACCGCAAAGTCGACCAACCAAAGCAAATCCGACCAGTTGTCCTGGTGGTAGTTCACGTATGGTCGTAGCCTCTGCTCCATATAGCGATTAGCCACTTCCGTCTGACCATCTGTCTGCGGATGATGCGCAGTAGAAAGCTTCCGTTTGATTCCTAGAATGCGGCAGAATTCCTCCCAGAAATCGGCCACGAACTGTGGTCCTCGATCGCTAATCACTGAATCGGGGAGGCCAGACCAACGCAAGATATGATCACAGAATAGACGCGCTGTACTGCGAGCATCAATATCACGGTGACACGGGATGCTAACCGTCCGCTTGCTGAACCTATCCACCACCACCATAACTTCGTCATACCCTGCCTTATCCTTCGGCAAGGCACAAAAATCAACCGAGATACTCTGCCAGGGCCGCTCTGGGATAGGCAAAGGGTTCAGAAGCCCCGGAGTTCGATCCGTCCAAGGTTTCGTACGCTTACATGTCGTACAGTTGTCGCAATATCGCTCCACATCTTTGCTCCATCCGGGCCAATGGTACTGACGGGACAACAGAAGCTTCATCTTCTCCATACCGGGATGGGCAAGGCCTGGTTGGCGGTGTATCTCGTCCAGTAACCGCGCGCGTAAATCGCCCTCGTCAGGCACTACCATCTTCCCATTGGACAGCAGTAGCCCTTCGCTAAGCGACCAATCACCCGGCTCCGCAGACATCGCACGATCACGCAACCCTTGTAGGCTCTCATCCGCGCGGTTCGATGCCAATACACGATCAACCACGTTGGTATAGACCGGAGAGAGTACCGGCTTCGTCCAGAATCGGGGAGGAAGCACCACCTGCTCCTCAGGAGCGCCGAGAAGAGTCTCTTTCCGGGAAAGCACGTCAGCTAAAACATTAGCCTTCCCTGGTCGATACTGGATCGTAAACTGGTAACCGGCTATGTCCTGCATCCAGTGGATCTGCCGTACGTTGAGACGCTTCTTCGTAGCGAACCACTGCAACGCTTGGTGATCAGAGAAAACATCGAAGCCGACACCTTGCAGCTCAGGCCTCCATTCTTGCAACGCACGGATAATAGCCAGAAGCTCCTTGTCGTGGATCTCGTAATTCCGCTCTGCGGCTTGCATAGCCTTCGAGAAGAAAGCCACTGGATGCCAAAAGTCATCCTTTTGCAGCTGCGATAACACTCCTCCTATCACACCATCCGAGGCGTCTGTCTCTATGCGTGTCGGCAAGGATACGTCGTAATGACGCAGGATCGGTGCATCCACCATCGCGGCTTTCAAAGTGTCAAATGCCTCCTGGCAGTCCGACGTCCAGGACCAGGGTGTCCCTTTACACGTCAAATGATGTAAGGGGCGCGCAATTTTGCTATAATCAGCCACGAATCGCCGGTAAAAGTTACAGAACCCCAAGAACGATAGCACCCTCCGTACTGTCGTTGGAGTCTCCCAATCTTTGATAACTGCCACTTTATCCGGGTCTGCACGTACGCCGTCGACACCGACGATAAAGCCTAAGAACTTAGTCTCCTCCACGTGGAACTCACACTTGTGTAAGGCAGCCTGGAGGCCAGCACCCCGCAGGCGCTCAAGTACGTGACGCACATGCTGGATATGCTCCTCGAGGGTCTCACTGTAGATGAGGATATCATCTACATACACAGTCGCAAAGACGTCCAGACAGTCGGCCAACACATTGTTGATATATCGCTGAAAGGTTGCAGGCCCATTCGTCACCCCGAACGGCATCACTGTGTATTTGAACTGGCCATATCGTGACCGAAAGGATGTCAAATCCTGCGATCCGTCCGCCATCCGAATCCTGTGGAACCCTTGCCGAATATCCAGCTTCGTGAAGTACCTCGCTCCAGCAACACGCTGCATTAATTCATCGATCAGGGGAAGTGGATAGCCATCTTTCTTCGTGATCGCGTTCAGCTTACGATAATCAACACAGAACCGGAGTCCACCATCTGGCTTACGCGCAATTAGGATTGGCGATGCGAAAGGTGCTGTGCTCGGTATCAAGAACCCTTTCCCGATATTATCGTAAATATACTGACGCGAGAATTCAAGTTCTTCCCTTGACATCTTATACAAAGGGCAGTATCCGGGATCAAATCCTTCCCCTTCCAGTCGTATCTCACAGTCCACCCCTTTACGATATGGGGGTATCGCATCCGATGCCTTTTTCGAAAAGACATCTGCGTAATCGTGATAGTGATGTGGCACCTTCTGCTTCACATCGTCCAGCTCCGCTGAATCTTCCATCTCATCCAGCACCTTCTCAATCTGTTGGAGACTGGATACAAAGACCTCTGTGCCCTCCTCTTGCTGATGCCGATGGAAGCCAGGAGCCCCCACGATCGCGATCTGGAAGCCCGCTGGCGTGGCAAGCCGAGTCTGCCTCACCCTGGGTGGTCCATAATCGTAACTCTCGTCCGCCAGAGACCGGTGCATCTTCACCATTGTATCGGTCTGATGGTAATTGTTATACGTACGCCTCACTGGTCTAGACGCGACTAGCGCCACTGGCTCAGACGCGACAGGCGCTACCGAAGCCTCGCAAGACGGCCAGCGAAGACATCGGTTCTTACAATCGATCAACGCGCCAACCTCTTCGAACCAGAGTAGTCCAAGCATCAGATCTGTGCCTGCCAGCCTCGTGACCAAGAATGGGAGATCTCGCTGCTCTCGGCCATCAATCGTAATATCAAGCATCGCATAACTTGTGATCTGTGGTGCCGGACTGCCATCGAAGCCTGTCGGGTCGATCGGATCGGCCAGCTTCCGCGTCGGTATGCCTAGCGATCGGCAATACCCTTCGTCTATCATTGCGTACACATTCGCTCCGCTATCCACTAATGCCTTGGAATCCGTAGAGGAAGAATCATAGGTAACTTTGAGATTTATTGTCAAACTATCTCTGCATGCTAGCTTCCTAGTCACCTCTAACGGACCACGCATTAGCGTATGGCCTAAGAAGGAGACTTCTCTTAGGCGTAGTCTTTTCCCATATCCTTATTGTCCATCGGAGTGTCCACCGGAGTGTCCACCGCCACAGTCTTCACAGTGACCTTAGTAGGGCAGTTTCTACTAATATGGTCCGGCAGCTTGCAGATAAAGCATAACCCTAGCTTCATAAGCCGGCTCCGCTCATCCTTAGCCTTCGTCTTATCCACATCGGCTGTTGAGGCTGTCCCTGCTACTGTCGACGTCGCGGGAGAGGAGGAAGGTTTAGTGTCCTTCTCACGAATCTTCTGGAACTTCTGTTGCTGGGAGACAAAACTCGCCGCAAGCTGGCACTCCCGTACGAAGTCATCCATCGAGCCATCGCGGCCAAGCAACATCATAACCTGGTTCTGGATCTTGGTCGGGAGTTTAGAGTACAGATCACGCCTTCGTACCTCCTCTGGGCGACGCGCCTCCTCCGCAAGCCGGGAAAACAAGGCTAGGAAGTCTTTGAAATCGTCCGCTGGCGCCATCCTGAGAATCTCGTACTCCGATGCAGCCAGCTGTGCCCGGTTCGGGTCCAAGAAGACACCCCGTAGGTGGTCTAGGACCTGGCGGACATTCTGGTAAGCGGTCGCGGATGTGCGGTTCATCCGAGGGTTGATGTGTTGCAAGGCCTTCCCCTCACAACGACCTCTTAGATATGCCATTCGGTGGCGTTCAGTTGGATAATGATCAGCATTTAACTCCAACTTGTCCAGGATCCCGTCCTCCCAGTCCTCGAAGCGGACTTCCTTTCCGTCCGACAGCATCGCAGGATCAGCGACCTTCTTGGTATGCCACGAACCAGGCTCAGATGACGCTGTCTTCGATCGTATTGGGCCCATAGGTGATGGAGAGGGAGGCACAGAAGTAGAGGAAACACACTCAGTTGTCGGAACCACATGTTCCACAGGCTTAGTTGGGACTAGAAGACGAAAAGCAGCCGCGAGAGTATCGCGCTCCTTCTCAACCGACTCAAGCTGTTGTTTTATGTTCCGATACTCCTCCTCAAGGTCATCGACCAAGTCAGCCGAGTGGTTACCACCACAACATCCATCCTGTGTCTTCTGCAGTTCCTCTTGGAGGACCGCATAATTAGCACGCATCAGTCGTAGCTCCAACTCCACCTCCTTGAGGGTGGCCTGCGACTGTTCAAGGGCGTTCCACTTGGACGCCATCATCCTCCAGGCCGCTTCAGGATCATTCTGGATCCACACGAGCAGCTCGCTAACTGTCTCTACAGTCTGGCTCGCTGCGTCCGGTCCTGTGAAGGTCAGTGATTCACGACGCCTCGGCATCGGGTTCGGTTCGGGCTGACCAGCAGCATCGGTATGCTGGTCAGTTGTCGATCCATGACCAGCAGCATCGGTATGCCGGTCATCGTCAACGTCTTCTCGGCGTCCTGCCTCTCGTCGGCGACGCGAAGACGATCGGTTTGTCACGTTCGCTGGTGACATTGTGTTGGTTCAAAGTGAGAGATAACAGGTGACAGTCGTGCGAGCGAGCACCGTAGTCCGTCTGTTATCTGAAAAGATGGGATAAAAAAGAAGAGGAACGTTGTTATTATGTGATGAGGTGCCTATGATCTACTAGAATAGAGAAGAGTGCGAAGAACAACGAATAACAACGTTGAGGAAAGGAAAAGAAGAGAGAGAGCTATGCTACATACATGTAGGCGGATGCCACTCTCCAGGCCAATCATCTGATTGGCCTGCATCCGAGAGTGGGTCAAACCGCACAAACGTGCAAACAGTGCAAACATACCCGTCCCGAGTCTTCCTCCATGTAGTTATACTACACCCATCTGAAATGAAGTTTCTGGGCATACTTGAGCTGTCGCCCAATAAGAAGCTCTTTGCCGTCTTTAGCCTGGGGTGATAAAATAAAGGACCCTTGCTTTCCACGTAGTGATACCGGGAGTGGTAGGTTCTCTTTTATGCTATCATCCATAAGGGTGCGCGGGAATGAATATGTTATGGCCATATGGCCAGAGTAATCGGGGGAGATGTCTGGGAAAATACTCGAACGAACTTTGGAGTAGATCCCGTCAGCACCAATCAGCAGTTCGGCTTTTTCCTGAGTTCCATCCGCGAACTCGAAGACAACATTATCACTGTTGCAATCTTCATGTATAAGCTTGGTAAACTTCTTTCCATAGAAGATCTCAATGCCAGCCTCTTTCGCCATCTCTGTTAACTCGTGGTTTAACACCTTTCTTGTGATACGCATGCCATCATAGCCGTATGTATCTTGCTTCCCGAAATAGAGCTTTCCAGTTGTCTCGTGCTCTGGATCAGTCATGAATGTTATAGCTTCAAAGTTGTAGCCTTGATCTTTGATGCGTGAGTATGCGCCGATAGATTCTAACCCATAGGGGTAATTCCATTGGACACCAATGGATTTAGGGTAAATTCCTTAAGTATGGGGAAATAAAAGTGGGTCGGGGTCCAATGGAATTAATCTTCACAAGTCCAATGGATTTATATTCTAGACTCGTACGACGCTTATATTTTAGTATGTTTTTCAACACCCTAACCCATAGGGGTAATTCCATTGGACACCAATAGATTTAGGGTAAATTCCTTAAGTATAGGGAAATAAAAGTGGGTCGGGGTCCAATAGAATTAATCTTCACAAGTCCAATAGATTTATATTCTAGACTCATACAACGCTTATATTTTAGTATATTTTTCAACACCCTCCATTTTATAGTCAAACCAAATTTGACACTATTCTAAGTATTAGAAAAGGTAGTTGCAAAGGTTCAAAATCAGGGAGTTTTTTTGATAGGATAGAGAGCCTACCCAACCGTAATATATTACCGTACGAACACTACCACTAGACACCCAATAGGGTATAGGTAATTATATAGTTTAGATAACTAAAAATTTAGGGGTTGATTCACTATATTCCAGTTTATATTCCAATTTTTTTTTTAGGCCAATTAACTAAGTTTTATCTATACAATATAACTATTATATAGATTTTATATAATCATCCCTAGATATATATTTCTATTTTTAGTATATCACAGACTACCCCCAACAATCCTAATACTAGTAAGTTTTTTTCCACTAATTCTAAGTTTAATATAGTGATTTACTATAAATATAAGTATACTATACAAAGAAATAATATTATTACTTATTTAACTAGCACTAATTATTAGGTTCCCTATATAGTAGTATAGTATATTAAGTAATATATCTAGTAATAAGACTATATTAAGAACTAGCCCAATATTACTAATTAGCCCATCTAGATTGACCAACCTATCCCCAGATTAACTATATATAATAATAGATTATTATATTTATAATATTCAGTATATATTTACCAAAATTTAAAAGGGATTAAAAACCATTAGTCTAAGGAGTATTATTAGTTCTCTAATAACTACCAAGGCCACCCCAAACTATCTAAGATTATACAGATCCAGACCAATATCGATACCAATTCCTAGTCTATATTATACCAATATATTTTCAAGTATAACATTAGTTCCTATTTTATCTAAATCCACCAGCCTATTAGCCATATTACACCTACTATCCCACTAACTAATACTATTAAACAGTTAGTTCAACATATATAAACATTCTAAATAGAGCAGGCCCATAGCCAGCAGACCATCATCTAAACCAGTGAATTCAATAAAACTACCCTATAGTTAAACCATATAGGGTAGGTCTAGTATTTATAAGACATCCTATCCACCCCGTTAGTCCAGTCTATAAAGCAGCCGGACAAGGATATAAAGGGCCCTAAGGATATAACATAGACTATTTAGCAAACCATAAAACAATTAGCTATCGTAAGCTAGCAGATCACCTAGACAAGTAATTTTTTAGTACAGATTAAGACTATACACACACAGAAGACCAATTCCCTATATAAGCCATTATTAGTATATATAAAAAAGACAAAGATCAAGGACTATATCAAGCTATAGCAGCGGATTTTAATATTTTTCACATAGATATAATAGTCCTACAAGTAGAAGAGTCCTCTATACAAGTTCACATCCCAATAACAACAGTTATAGGAGATTATATAGTACTATATATAGACCAGGGACCTATCCAACCCAGACCTAATAAATATAAATAAGAAGCTATATAAGTTATAGCTATTAGAGTATATAATTATAGATTTTTATATTAATTTATTATACCAGAAGATCCAGCACTATAAGTATAGATATATATTTATTTATATATTAATTATATTAGAACAGAAGTTATATAGATAAGATAAGATAGAGGATTACCTACCTAAGATTTCCAGTTTAATCAAAATCACCCGGTTTTTTATATTATATAAAACATTACAATTAAACCCTAATTTAATTATAATCTAGCATAGGTTAGTATAGGAGATCTATAAAAAGTATTTTTATAGGGATAATATCCCTATAATAGACAAATATATATTTAATAGAGAAGATAAGGGTTATACTAGTAGTCCTATATAAAAGACTACTATCCCTAGTTCTATACCTAGATCCCCTATAATATCTATATTAAAACCCCCTAGTTAAATCTAGGATTGTTAAGTAATTTATATATTTCCCAAGTAGTTACAATTAATAGTCGATACATTTATAATATATAGGACTAATAGACTAGTCCAATAGTTATTAGATTTATATATATACAAGAAGAAGATATTTTTTAATACCTTATCCAAGGGGTATATTAGATAGAAAAATATAAACAAGTTATTATATAAATAGTTATATTTTACAATAAATAATTTCTAGGGGATAGTCTATAGATTAGTCGATTATATATAATACTAGTTCTACTACTAATTGTTATTCACTAAAGGTATATAAGTCCCCTATATCAATTTACAGGATTTATATAACAACCCTATATAATAGACCACAGATTAGAGTTTTATCTAGGATTCTTGTATAAAGTAGCCCATCCCTAGGGCTAAGTAATTAATCTAGTAGATAGCCTAAGAGCTTATATTACACCAATAATTTAATAAAAGTAATAACCAGGGATTCTATATATATATAATTAACTAGTATTTTACTAAGGTAGCCCGATTCTATAAACAATTAAGTATAGCTATCTATATCATAACCAGCTAACCTAGCTATATATCTAAGTTATTAAGTATCTAGTATTAGAATAACAAGTAGGAGATCTATAATATATTTATTAAAGATAGTATAGTAGTATTTATAAGTTAATATTATAAAAGATTCTATATTAGTAATAATACTAAGATAATCTAGTAGTATTTACTACTAGAGGTAGATAAGTTAGTTATATAATATATATGGTTAGTGTTACTATTTATAGAGATATTACAAGCATACTAGTAATAATAGTAAAGAATTACCCCCACCCCCTAGCAATTAGAGTATATATAGGGCCCAGATACTAGTAGTAAGAAGGAATAGACCAGTATATAATTTCGTAAGATATTAGAATCAGCCACCGCCGCTGGGTTATATAAACAATCTATCTATATATTGGTATACTGCGATATTACTATTACTATCAACTAGTAGTATTTATAGGACAAGAGCTAGTTTAAGAGTAATATCTAAGAGGATACCACTAAGCCTACCGCCTTATACGACCCCAATAATAAGGATAGAATAAATAAGAATAAGTTTATAAGATATATTACTAATTTATAAGCTATATATTTATCCTATATGGCTGGGATAATATATAATTATATAATTATGGAGCCTACTAACAATACTATATACCAATAGCAGTAGTTCCGGTAGTCTAACTAGGATTAGTATTAATTTTTAGAATTTGTATCTACTATCTAAGAAAATATATTAGATAAGTATATTTATAATCTATAGAAAGATAAGATTAAGGAGAGCTATATATAGTAGTAGTATTAATTAGCCTATATAAATATATTATAGTTATTCTAATAGATAGTTAGACAACCAGAGATAAAATTCTGTAGGGTGTAGAAGCCTATATTATAAGCTATCTAGTAAGGGGTTAGCCTAGTTATTATAATAATACCTACTAATAGGGGTAAAAGTATATTATTTATATTATCTATATAGATTAGTAGTAGATTAACTATAATAGTCGTCCTATTAATTATATTATAATAGGATATAGTACAACAGTACAAGTAGTTAGGGATATTATATATACTATATAACAACCAATAACTGTCAGATAAAGCAACAATTATATTAGTAACACCTAAGATTATCTATAGCTAGGTGTTCCAAACGTTTTTAAACCAGCAGCAATTATTGTAGTAGTTAGAGTAGATTATGATTAATAAGTACTATACTATGTTAAATAATTAGAAGATATTCTAGCCCTAATTATAAGAGATAGGGGATTTATGGTCTATATAGATATAAATAGTATTATTAATAGCTATATTACTCCCGGCCACTAAACTAATATTATTATACTAGATAGGATAGTCCCAGGAGCAGATTACTATTTACTAGGCCCGTATACACTAGCCCAATATAGTATACCAGGTATAGTATCCTAAGATTAATAAAAGGTATAATTATATATATTAATAGATCTAGATAGATATAGTAATCTAGTTTATCTAGGATCAGGTCTAGTAAGCCTACCCTAGGTGGGTAATTATATATAGAAATATTATTAAGTATATATAAATAATAACCAACTAGTTAGGGTATAATATATTTTTTAGTAAGTAATATGATTTAGAAGGGATATTAACCCGATTTCAATAGATGGCTAGGGTTATGATTATAGCTACTAATATATTAGATATAGATATTAATATTCTAGATATCTACAATATAATCTATTTAGGATAGTCCTATATAATATTAGATTATATATAGAAGAGTAGATATACCGGGTGTAATAGGTTATCTAGTAAGATAATTATTATCTAGCCTAAGGACTAGTAAGTAGGATATTAATACTATCTAAAATAGATATAAGAGTTTATAGAGGAGTAGTAGTAGGTATAGTAATATATATTTCTATTAGACTAGGGGAGTAGGTATTAACAGGTAATATTAGATAGATATTTAGATAAATATATCCAGGCTAGATATAAGAAAGATAAATCCTAGTGTAATAGATATAATCGGGATTGGTTAAGATAAAAGATAGATATCCAAGATTACAATATTAAGACCAGGCCTAGTCAGCCATATAAGAATATAATCCAACTAAGTCAACTATCTAAGAGTACAGCCCATCTAGGTCAACCATCCGAGAGTACAGTCCAGCCAAGTCAGCCATATAAGGATATAGTCTAGCTAAGTCAGCCGTCTAAGGGTACAGCCCGTCCAAGTCAGCCGTACTAGAATACAGCCCAGCCAAATCAGCTATATAAGAGTACAACCCAACCAAGTCAGCCGTATAAGGATATAGCCTATCCAGATCAGCCGTACCAAGGAGTAAGCCCAGGCATATAGAGTTCCCACAATAATTCAACAGTAAATAAGTCAGAGAGTTTAATATCCTAGACCCCTATGGTTAAGTATACCAATCCCACAACTAAAGATAGTCCTATCCCAGATTCCCTATCTATCCCTATAGCTATACGATATCAGTTCCAACAATAAGATATCGAACATATATAATTATCTAACCAACGACCATAAGCTAGCCAGGACCAAGTCTAGTATAATATATATTTCCAAGATAAAATAGAGTAGTAGTTAATATAGTATTAGTCGTATATATAGAAGGGATCAGACAATAGATATAAGTTATTCTAGTACCTATAGGGATATAATCGTAAGGCTAAGACGTAGTAGAAATAGATATATATATTTAATAGGATCCGATATCAGGATTATAGTATATATTTCTAGTATAGGATACCGTAGTCGATATACCCATAGGGGGATCCTAATAAAGAGAGATCCTGTACGAAGGAGGTACAGTAAGTATATAATCGATACTAGTATATATTATTACTAATAGTAATAATAATATTGTTTAGCAAGAAACAATATAGTAAGATCCGTACAGCATAAGATTATCAGTTATAGTATAGTAGGGTAGATAGTATAGACAAGGGGTAGTTAAAGTAGTATTTAGGAGGTATAGCCATAGGGATTATATTATAGTAGTCCTAGTTAGTATAAAAGTTTATTTGGTGTCGATAAGTTTACAATAGGTATAAGATTAAGTTAATATAGTTATAAGAAATATATTATATATTTATAGATTATGGTACGTAGATAATATTTATATATAGATAATATATTTATATATTCTAGGATAGATCAAGAAATATATATCTAGTAATCTATAGTCAGAATTTGTAGGGTAATAGTATATAAGTAGTAAGAGTAATAATATATAAGTAGTATAAGAGCTATTCCCGAGTCTATACTAAGTAGTAAACTGATTGATAACCCAATTAACTAGTTAGTAGGCCAGTTAAGCTATTAAAAGACCTATAAAGGAACCTATAAAGGAACCTATAAAGGGACCGGTTGTTATATAAAGAAATAATAGGTTATAGTATTATAGTAGTAAGAGTAATAGTATATAGGAATAGTAAGAGTAATAATATATAGGAATAGTAAGGGTAATAGTATATAAGTAATAAGAGTAATAACATACAAGTAGTTAGGGTAATAATATATAAGTAGTAAGAGTAATGGTATATAAGTGGTGA